TGTTAGGCACGATTTCACACATACAAAAAATCTACGAACGAGTCGTCAAAGGCTTAGCGTTAACAGCAGAAACATTTCAATTCATTTTTGAATTGGAAACAGGTCTACAAACGATGATAAAACATGGGTTCATATACTCAAATCATGCAAATCTGCTAAAAAATAGCGTATAAATAGAAGTAACTGAGCGAGTTACAAAAATATTGGGGAAAGGCTTCCTATAAATGTAGGAATCTTTAGTTTGCATATTTGCACTCACCGTAACTGAGTGTGATATATACATATACTCAAATCATGCCATATTTACAATCTAATGATATTCGTTTGCTTATCTTAGATTCTCATGTAGCAGCAAAAGCTTTTTTTCTTCTTCTATAGAATCAGACAGAAATCTAGGATTGAGAAAGAAAAAAACGGTAAGAAAAAAACCAAATCATTTCAAACCAAAATAACTAGTTTGGTTTATTTATGGTTAAATTTAAAAATTCATTTAGATATTATTTTTCTAAAAGTTCTGGTTTATATTTGGTTTGGTTAAAAACTGTTAAACTGAATAATTTTTTCGATTTTAAAATTAATATTTAAATAATTTATATTTTTTTAGTTTAGTTTAGATTCAAATTTTTCATTGTCCTTAATTATATTTATAATTTAATAAATACCCATATTTATAAGCAATATGAGAAGACGAATAATAGTGATTAAATAATAAAAATGATAATAAGAATTTGTTTTTTTCATTTATTTTTTTGTTTTTATATACTTAATTTTTATTGATGATTTGAATTTATTTTTTTACGATTTGTATTATATTATTTTTTTGTTTTTTTGTTTTCACTTAGCGTAATTTACTATTATTAAATCTATGTATTACTTGAATCAAAGTTTCTTAACTGAGCGAGTTACATAAATACTGGGGAAGGCTTCCTATAATTATAAATATAGGAATCTTTAGTTTGCATATTTGTCACTCGCCGTAACTGAGTGTGATATATCCATCTTTGACTGAAATCAATCTTAAAGTCATACATAGCCATCTGAACTGAATCTTTGTTCGTGATATTCTCATATACTTTTATCAACTAAAATTTTTGTCAACTTGGATGATTTAATCGCTCACCTTTTCTTTATTTTGAGCATTATCAAGCTTTAAGTTACACGAAATCTCTTATAGGATAAATAATCAAAAGTTTCTTAATTTAAGGTTGAAATACAAAAAACACACTAAAGTTCTAATGTTAATATGTTTTTTTCCAAAAAACTTTATAATTTTTTGGAACAGTGAAACTCTCTCTTTCTTTCTTTCTTATTTTCTCTGTTTCTGTTTGCTTTATGTTTGTTATTATTATAGTAATACCAACAACTCTTTTTATAGGAATCCAATGGTTACTTCAAAAGATTACAATAGTTGATCGGGTTGCAAGATTGATCACCAACCGTTGCAATGGTTAATCACTGAAGGTTGTAACCATAGACCTAACAGTTGCAATGGTTAGTCACCGAAGATTATAACTATAAACTCAATAGTTCTTATGATACATTTAAATGGTTGCAAATATTTATTTAAGCAGTTTCAACAGTTCATCAACGGTTGCACTAATTCACTTAAATTTCCAACTTTTCTCTCGATTTAAGTGTTATCAAGGATTCACTAAATAAACAACACATATCCAAACTTATGCATAAATGAAAATGTTGTAACGATTGAATTTTTATCTTAGTGATATTACACATTCCAAATGCCAGAGAATGATGATGTCACATGGATTGAATCCTCTCAACTCATTTGGGCACATGAAGATAATACACACACAAATTCCCACAATACTCTAAATGTATATACTTGACACTATTATAAGCCATGTGTTCCTATCCATTCATGAGCGCATACAAAGTCAAGTCCTAGCTTCTTGAAGCGGCTGCACTTCACACTCATATAGGTACATATTTTAACCGTACATTTGCAAAATGCACTTTATTCAAAAAATATATTAAGAAAAAAAATTCAACCTATCTCTTTCTTGCAGGTTCAAGCACATACATTGGGATGATATAAACATGTGCTTCATTCTTTAAGTGTTAGCTTTGCACTTAGAATTCAGCCTCTAACATTGTATTATAAGAGAATTGGGTATCCCATCACTATATTTTAAATGGACTTTAACCCCATCCCTTTAGCCGACTTAACTACTAAGTCCCTAGCCAAACCTTTTGTTAAGTGATCCGCTAGATTATGTTGGGACTGAAGAATTTCGATTGTAATCACCCCATGAGTGATCAGATCACGTACAACGCTATGTCAAACACCCAGGTGTCGTGACTTACCATTATACACTTGGCTATACACCTTAGCCAATGTAGCTTGACTATCACAATGAATAGATATCAGTGATACTGGTCTCGACCACAATGGAATCTCATAAACTAAATTTCTTAGCCATTCTGCCTCTTTACCAGCAGCCATAATGCTACAAATTATGATTCCATAGTCAAACTTGTAATGCAAGTGTGGTTTCAAAAACCCATGAAATGGTACCTCCCCTAAGTAAAAACACCCAACACCTTGTAAAAAATGATCTTCCACATTGTTAATCCAACTTGCATCTGAATATCCTTGCAAAGGAAATCCATTATAAGACAAACCATAATTTATGGTTCCTTTCAAGTACTTAAGCACATCAAAGTCAAAATTGCTTGGGAAGGGGGTTTGTATCGACCAACAGCCCAATACGTGGTGGTCGATACAGAAACTCGTTTCCTAATATCGACTGTTTGGCCGATAAAAGTGGCCGATATAGAAACTCGTTTCCTGATATCGGCTGTTTGGCCGATACAAGTGGCCGATATTGAGGACTCTAGAGTCTGGTTTCTACCTAATCGTCCATATCAGCTGCTTGCCTGATATCCTTGTCTGGTACACCCTGATATCGATCATTTGGCTTATACTCCTCCTTGATACAAATCTCAGAAACTTCTCCAGCTTCTTTAAGTGCTCCTCCTTATCCAAGCATCCTTATCAACTCGCCAAACATCCTTCATTGCCTCATAAAGACCTGAAATACACTCTAAATGCAATAAAATATGCATTTCTAACACTAATGCACCATAAGTCTAATATGACTGCAAATATGACACTTTGTACTATAAAATAGATGATATGCGATGGAAAACTAAAGTAAATAAAGCCTAAAATAATATAATTATGTAAGCTATCAATACTTGTTCTTGATAAGGTGTAATCTAACTTGAGCGTTAAAAAAATTTTGGGAGGAAAATCCTTTCCAGTTCCCTTAGAGGTTTGACTTACCCATTTCTAGTGTTCATAGGACTAGAAAAACTTTTACCCCAAAACCGCTACTGTCCCAAATGATGAAACTTGAAAATCTAACTCACTATCTAAACGATCATATACGTAACATTTATACCAAAATATGGACTTCCTATTTTGGAGAGTAAAGGAAAGGGTACCCCCCGGACCTCAGAAGGACGCTTTTCCTTGGATCTTGTGGTATATCTGGAAAGCACGAAATGAAAAAGTTTTTAACAACAAATCAGTGACCTCGGCGGAAACCTTCCAACTAGCACGCCTGGAGGCGGAGAGTTGGAAAATGGCAAAGCAAAAGGAGAAAGAAGAGAAAGAAGAAGGAGAGAAAGAAGAAGTAGACGAGGAGAACCCCTCGCGGCCAGGCTTATTGAGTATCAACCCCTTGCTCCCCCACGTCCCAACCTGCCAGATTGACGCGTCCTGGATTGAGCAAGGGACAACTAGTGGCTTGGGGTGGTGCCTTGAAGAGGAAGGGGGTCGTCGTACGTATGGCATGAAGGGATGCCAGAGGAGCTTGTCACCCCTTCATGCAGAGTTCGAAGGCCTCCTCTGGGCGTTATCCTGCCTAAGAGAGCGGGGCTACGCTGCTGCTAGGATCGAGACAGATTGCTCGGATCTGATCAGGATGGTTGAAGAACCAACTGATTGGCCAGCCTTTTCTTCGGAGTTAGACTTCTTAGAATTCCTGCGGACAAATTTCGAGTTTTGTAGGTTATCTTTTATCCCGCGTACTCAGAATGTCCGTGCCGATGCTCTTGCTAAAGAAGCACGAGCACGAGGTTTTTCTTTTTCTCATGTAAGTCATAATGAACCGACCTGGTTAACTCGTAACGAGCTCCACCAAACCGGTATACTTTGATTTAATATATGGAGTTTGTCGACAAAAAAAAAAAATACGTAACATTAATATCTCATAATTTAGTTAGAACGGTATTTACTTGAATCAAAATTTTTTATAATAATATAATATCAAAAATCTGAAATTGATCTTTGGTTTTAATTTTTATAACAATTGAAAATTTTAAAAATTAAAATAAACCAAAATAGATAAAACATAAAATAAAATAAAAAAATCAAATCGAAACCAAGACGAAAACCAAAATACTCACCTCGTAACGTTATAGTGCAGAAGTCAAATGATACCTAGATTACATATTTTTACATGCTTAAATTATAGATTTAAGGATACTTGACACTGAACTTGATGATCACCATAAAAATTCAGAAGATACTTCGATCACCAGAAACGCCAATATTGGAATGAGTGTAGTAAGTATGTGCATCAATCAAAGTCAAAGAAATAGAAAATAATAAAATAAGCGCTATGAGTAAAGACAAATTACAAAAAAAATTACGAAGAATTACTTTCTTCATCCCAATCTTATGTATAAAAAACATGCTATAAAATGTTAAAATTGGTACATAACTTTGTAATAAATGAAGAAGGAAAACACTAATCTCCCTTATCTACTGTAAAAAACTTCCATCGTCGTGTCGCAGAGGGAATCTAGGGTTCCAGATTTATTTCTTCGTTCCTCCGGGATTCGTTTCCATCGATCTCGAGCTTCCGATCCTCTAGAAAGCTCCCATCTTCGTACATTTCGAGTGACAGAAACGGAAACGAGAGAAAACAAACAAAACCCAGCTCAATCCAGCTCGCCAGTAGTAAGATTCCATGGCGAAAACTCGACCTGGTGTCGCTTCTCCGAAGAGCAAGCTGGGCAAGAAAGACATCGATTCGTATACTATCAGAGGCACCAACAAAGTTGTTCGAGGTACTTTCCAATTCAAGCTCTATCACTCCCCATTGGGCTAATTGGGTTGCGATTAGATTTCTCCGTAAGCAAGTAATTGCTCAAAAAGTCTGGGTTTTTTTAGTCTTTATGATCCCAGTTTTTGATTTGTAACATTCGATCATAAGGAAAATATGTATTCTCGTTTTAAAATTTTTATCAATTGGATACCTTGATTTTGACTGTAAATGTCACTGCCGCGTAGCTGCATTTTGGATATATAATGTGATCTTTCTGTAAATTCCGTTATTTCGGAGACATTTTACTGAATTTTATTGGGAAAATGTATGCTTTGATCTCTGATTAGTGTGACTAAGTGAATGATTAATCATAAGTTTAGTTGGTGTGTAATGTAATTGTTGAGGTGGTTTCTTGATCATTCTGTAGATTTCGTTATTTTGAAGTATGAAGGGACACTTTACTGAATTGTATTGGGAAAATCAAAAGTGTATGCTTTGAGCTTTGATTGGTGACTAGGTGAATGTTTAATCCATCAGTTTAGTTAATTTTGACATGATGATGAACTCGGAAATGTGATTCTTGCAGCGGGAGATTGTGTGTTGATGCGTCCATCTGATGCTGGGAAGCCTCCTTACGTGGCGCGTGTTGAGAAGATTGAAGCGGATGCGAGGAACAACGTGAAGGTGCATTGTCGGTGGTACTACCGTCCTGAGGAATCGCTTGGGGGAAGGAGACAGTTCCATGGAGCCAAAGAGCTGTTCATGTCGGATCACTACGATGTTCAAAGCGCTCACACCATCGAAGGAAAATGCATCGTACACACTTTCAAAAACTATACGAGGCTCGAAAACGTTGGAGCTGAGGATTATTATTGTAGGTTCGAGTATAAAGCTGCTACTGGTGCATTTACCCCTGATCGAGTCGCTGTGTGAGTGACGATACAGTAATGAAAACAAGCCTTTTTTTTTCCCTCTCCTATAGTTTTGATTATTTTATTTGATTCTGAAGGTACTGCAAATGTGAAATGCCGTATAACCCGGATGATCTGATGGTGCAATGCGAAGGCTGCACGGACTGGTAAATGATAATGTTCATCTCTTTTGTATATGCTAAAAAAAGTAACAATTGTTCCTCAACTTGTAAGATACCCAATGCTGAATGTTCATGATATTATATACTGTGTTATCCGTAGAACAACTGGCTTTGTGTAAAATTTTGGATCTACATTTCAGTGTGTAGCGTTCTCCTTTAGTCTTGTTATTGGTTGTAAGAGTTTACTACTATATGTCATTGTTAGGTATCACCCAGCATGTGTAGGCATGACGATTGAAGAAGCCAAGAAGCTGGAACACTTTGCTTGTACTGAATGCAGCTCTGGTGAAGGTGTCAAGAGATCTCAGAACGGGTTTGCTTCATCACCTACCAATGATCTTAAGGTAAGTTTTGTCTTTCTTTCACTTCTCTTATCAAATGCTATCAAAGTTTGCCAACATCCATGTTTACTCCAATTTGAGATGTTAGTAAAGCTACAAAACCAAAGTTTCATTGGCTTGATAAATTGTTGATCTTAAAGACACTTCAGTTTCCGGATTCGTGAGTTCTGGTGTTAACAGCAACTTGTTGTGTTCAGGTGGATGCAAAACGCAGAAAAAGATGATCACGAGTGAGACTTGAGAGCTTCTTACAAGTGGATGATGGTAAGTTAAAACTTGAAGCTCTTTTCGTGCAGATTTTAGTTCATTAGGATTTTTTTTTCCTTGTCCTTGTTTGATGTCTGAGATGTGAAAAAAAGAGAGAAAAGAAGAACCAGAGAAAAGAAAGTACCAAAGAGCTGTATAGCCGTAAGTTTTGGTTGAATTGTTTTACTGTGGACTGCTTGTTTCTGTGAGAGAGATTGAAAACATGAACAGTCAATTCAGGAAGTAATAACATCAGATCATTCTGAGTTGGACATTTTTTGTCTTGCTAACCGGGTTGATTTAGACCGGTTTTCTGGTGTATAAGCTGACCCGATGCTAAGAGTTCTTCCAGATTCCTTCCAAATTGAAAAGAGATTGTGCAAATAAGGCGTAGCTAAACCAAAACAGAGTTGAGACAAAAAGTTGGATTCATAGCAAAACCGTTTGTCAGTTTAAAAATCTAACCGAAGTAGAATACAAGTCTAAAACCTTTCTCTTAAACTTTTGCTATGTACAATGGAAGAAGGCAAGCAAATTTCATGTAAATACACATTTTGATCTAGAATGTATATGTAATGTAAAAGCAAGTGAATTTTATTTTCTATAAGTAATTTGAACAATTATGTATTTGTCATTTCCCTTTTAATAAGTTCTAACGTACCCAATTTGTTTAGTGTTGTTAAAAATGAATTACTACAACTTGAGATAGAATCATTCTATTTTAGAATTAAAATTAAAATATGATTAGAGCACATTAAATTTAGTATAGGATTGGAGATGTTCTTAGTAATTGTGTATTTTACAAAATTAATTAGAACAAATATATGGTTGGGAAAATAAAATTAAACGAAATTATTCTTGTATTGAAGAAGTAAACCGACACCGTTTTAAGTGTCTGGGGCTTACAATAGCCGTTGAAAAGAGAAGACAATCCCAAGTTTGGTGCTGTTTCGCGATCCTTGAACGGCCAGATTTTCAGGTTCCTGTCATTTCTGATGCGAATCGTATTTCTTTTTTTCTGGGTTCCATAAAGTTTTATTTTTTAGGGGTTTATTCGATTAAAAGTTTATGAAATTCTAACGACGATGATCAAAATGGAACAGATATGAGCAAGAAAAATCTGGCGATTCTGATGCGTGCTAGGATGAGGTCGAATAATCCCACCAAATTCTCCCTCTCTCAATTTCCTGTAAGTATTTTTTATTTAATTTTATTTCTTGCAATTCTTTTTTTCTTCGTTTGAATTCTTGCAAACACGACTGAATCCAGTATTCACCCAACATATGACCATAGGCAATGAAAAGTTTATGTCTTTTGGCTGTTAATAGAATGAAATCAGATTTTCTGTAGTTGAGTTAAATAAGAAGAGATGCTTCTTGAGCTGAATCTAGTGTACATGGTTTCTTGAATGGTTTTTATTCAAGAAAATATGAGTATTATAAGTCCAATTTGTATTTTTTTTTTTAATTGTCAGAAGGAGATCCCATCTAATTCTCAAGAGAATCATTCTGGAGACCACATCTTGCAAAATTCCTCTGAAGGAATTGGGAATTCTAGTGATTTTGGTATCACAGGAAGGTAATTTATGATCTTTAAAGAAGTAAATTTGGTTTTTCTCTAGTTACTCTTTTGTTTTAATCTTTATTTTGTTTAGGGTATATGATGTAGTTCGTGAAACAATGCACTCAGCTATCTCAGCGAGTAAAACTGGTGTAATGGACATTACTCTTAATGATTTTCAAGAGGTGAATCATCTCTCACATTGCTTCTTGATTTATGCTTCGATGTGTTTGCCTTTTTTTTTATCGGATTACTTATGGTTTAAAATGCTTCTAGGGATACTTTAGCCTTTCGCTTGAAGACCGTGGGAAATTACTGCTTGCCTTAGCCAAAGAATACGATGTTAACAGGGAACAAGTCCGAGAACTCGTTAAGCAATATCTTGGACTTGAAAATCCAGCCAGTAAGTCTTTGCTTTGTATTTTTGATTGATGTTCTTCAAGAAAATCTCCCATTAATGAGTGAGAGTTGCTCTTTAGGTGATGATGGAGAGCTTCATTCTCCGAAGAAGGAGGCTTTAACTTCTGTTTTCTATCGCATTGAGTGGAATCTAAAACATGCTCTCAAGCCGACATATGAAACTCTGTTTGAGAGGTTGAACATACATCCAGGAGGGTTGAGATTTTTGTCCATCCTTCGTGCGGATCTTCTCTCGATACTCTCGTAAGTGTTTCCCCATCTTCTTGTTATATGTGACTGTGACTCAAATAGTTGAAGATTTAAGTTTATGTAACTTTCCTCTTGAATCTGCCACTGATGGTTGTAGAAAAGAAAACACTCCGTCTTTGAGAACGTTAGATTCATATCTAAAGGAGAAACTCGGTATGTGGCTTAGTCCTGCCACGTTAGAGCTTCATCAGATTACTTGGGATGATCCTGCTTCTTTGCTTGAGAAAATTGTCGCATACGAGGTATGTGATGTATATAGTAGTTTCCATTACAACAATCTCAGATGATTACAATAAGATCTAACAAGGTGTTATTGAATAAGGCGGTGCATCCTATCAGCAACCTCTTGGATCTTAAAAGAAGATTGGGAATAGGTCGTCGATGCTTTGGATATTTTCATCCATCTATTCCTGGTTAGTTAGTTAAGTTAGTTAGTTTCTCGGGACACATGTTTCTTTGATTGTAACTCGAACACATTCTTTGATCATCTTGCGACAACTTACTTTCAGGTGAACCTCTTATTTTCATCGAAGTTGCTCTTATGGAAACCGTTGCTCAGACCATTCAGGTCTAACTAAACTCGATCCTATGATGCATAGTTTTAGTTTTTGTAGCTATGTGTCTAAAAGTTTTCCTTTCAACGTGACAGGAAGTTTTGTGGGACAATCCTCCCATACCAGAGAACCAAGCAACATGCGCTTTGTTTTACTCCATTTCTTCAACTCAGGTTTGTGCATACTTAACCATGATCATACATTCGTTGTCTGTAGTTCTCTCACTCGTTCTTTCAGTTCACTTCTTGGTGAATGGTGATTGAACTTTTGTGCTCTCTGACCATTGCAGCCCGGTTTGGCTGGGATAAACCTCGGTAAATTTCTGATCAAACGAGTGATTACATTGGTGAAAAAAGACATGCCACATGTTTCTGTGAGTGCTTTTGATTAGTTTGTATGCAATATTTGTTACCGGAGAATATGGATTTATCTGCTTGCTTAAACAAAATTGTGCTTTTGTTTGTTGCAGACATTTGCAACACTTAGCCCCATTCCTGGATTCATGCAATGGCTCCTCTCAAAGTTATCATCTCAGTCAAGGTTTGCTGAAGATGAGGGCAAGTCACCTTCATCTACGTTCAGCGAGAAAGTATTACTACCAGAAGAGGAACAAGCCCTCATGAGCATATCAGAGTAAGAGTTTCATTGATCAGTTCTTCATATGTGTATACAAGATAAAGTTCAAGGCATCATCAACTCAATGGATTCTTGTTTATGTAGTGACTCTTCTTCCGGTAGCAACGGCATGGAAGTTCTACTGAATTTGCTATCACAAAAGAACTGCGAATGGGCTACTTCGCCTCGTGTATTGCCAGTTTTAGAACCTGTTCTCATGCGGTTATGTGCTAGGTATGTTCATACTTGTAAATCTAATGGTTAAACATGAATCATATAGAGGCTGATGTTTTTGTATTGGTTTTTTTGGTCATAGGTACCTCTTGCAGGAGAAGAAGAGAGGAAAAGCTTTAGACTCTGTTGCTAACTTCCACTTGCAAAACGGAGCGGTAAGTTTCAGTGAATTCAAACATAAGACAAAACAGAGTGTGTGATTGAGATTGATTGATAAAAGCTTTCTTGTTGTGATATGTTTTACATAGATGGTTGAAAGAATAAATTGGATGGCTGATCGATCAGAGAAAGGTATTCATCAAAGTGGAGGCATTATGGTTAACTATGTCTATAGGTAAAGTAATCAAAACTTTGTGTTACAAAGATTTTCATTTTTTTCTTGGCTCTAAACACGTCTGATTCTGCTAATGACAGGTTAGAGAACATCGAAGACTATGCTCAATCGTATTTTGGTTCGGGAAAAATCAATGCCTCTCCTTGTATCCATTCTCGTCTCTAAGCAAAATTGATACGGTTCTTGATTAATTTGATCATTCTCAAAAGAAATGGTATAGTATTAAGGTTTAACACAAAAGTTATGTACAACTGTTTATTACTCTCGAGACTACATCTGTATATGATTGTGAATTTGAAGAGATATGAGCTTTCACTTATCAGGATCAGTTTCGACATGGCTAGTCTCTAAGACGTACTCACGCATGAGTTTAGTGTTGTGACCATCCACGTTCTGCATTTTCGTAAAAGAAGATGCTTATGTTATATTTATCTTCTTACACTCATATGTGATATATATATATATATATATATATATAGAGAGAGAGAGAGAGAGAGAGAGAGAGAGAGAGAGAGAGAGAACCTTGAAGGCGAGGCGCTTTAAATTGTCCCATTCGAAGTCGTTTTTACAATAAGCAGACCGTACCTACGTTACGTAGTACGTACGGTAACAAAAGGTTCAAAATACAAACGTAAAAGTTAAAAAAAAAAATGTTGAAAATGTATTAAAGGAGAAGCTTATAGCATACCTCTAAAATTCGGAGGGCTTGCATTGGTCGTGAAATGAAAACAGAGATTTATTAGTTTGTTACATTTATATAAGAATAAGATATACAAAAAAATGACTGTCTAGTAACCTAGAAAATTTGTACAAATACGAACAGTGAAAGTGTCACTGCACGAAAAGAATGTTTGGAAAAGGCGGCAAAGAGATTCCGTCTAAAACTACTAGGAGAAAACCGAAACTTGTTCTGTAGAACATTTTAACCAAATTTATTTACATGTATATAGAATATATACATGTTCAGTAGAATATTATAACCAAATCTAAAACCACTTAGGAGGAAAAACGAAATTAGTTTTGGTACCTAAGTTCATGTGACGTGAAGAGCGACGCATGAGGGCAGCGCAAAATTTATCGCCGTCACTTACAGAGTTTGTATCTAAAAACTCTCTTAGCTCCATATACGCTTCAGGGTTATAACTCTGTCATTAACAAATTTTATTGTTAATTTTTAAAATTATCTTAATCTAAACACCTAAGTTAAATACGAATTTGACCTCTAGCTGAGCAGACACTATCCTCACTGCAACGTAAGTAAAAAAGTCATGAAGATGCTTCGCTGCCTTAGCCTCTGGTGAAGCTTCTCCAAACCCTAATTTAATTATTAAAAACAAACAAAAAAAATTAGAAAAGTAGGCATTATGATCACATTAATTTGGCGAATAACATGGCATATATATTACATACCGGGAACGTACATCTTGTTGGAACAAATACGAGTTGGTTTGCGATTTTGGGAATTTCGCGATAGTGGAAAAGAAAGCAAAGGGCTCTTTCCAAATTTTGGATTAAAATAAGAGAGGTAAGAGTTATGAAGAAGGAGAGAAGAAGATGACTCCATTAGATGATATTCGATGAAGAAAAGTTGTAGAAGAGGCATATTGTTTTACTATATGGTCGTATATAAGAGAATGTTTAGGTTCACACATTAAAATATCTAAGGATATGGTCGAATAAAATATCTTCTTTCTTTTCTGGAAGTAAATAGACAATGTATGTCCACCAACCTGCTGCTAACAGCCACATATCCAACAATAGCTTACCAAATAAAGTGTTTAATTTTTCGTTGGGAGCGAAGGGATCAGACTTTATGCTTGAGATGTTTACTACTTGGTTCAGTAAGTTCCATGTTTTCTGTCTCATCACATAGCTCAGTAGCTAGATTGTATCCTGATTTTACAGTCTAAATCCCAGACTTCGTATAACTTCAGCAGAATCCATTTGTTCTAAAGCTCCGACTTGGATGGATATTGCGGTTGAGAGGATGTCTGCAGGGTCTATGAACATTTATAAGACATCAAGTCTCCACTCACATCTACACATTGAATGACATCAACTTTACAAAAAAAACAAACTATCATCTATAAAGAGGAGATGTGAAATTGCTAGGCTTGATTGAGCAATTTTTAATTCGGTTATATGGTCTTCTGTTTCTATTCTTTTAATTTGAGCAATTAAATTTTTTATCAAGATTATAAATAGGTACGAGGAGAGAGGATCCATGTCTTGTGTCTCTTTGGTTTTTTATTTAGAAAAATATGATAAAACATTGAGGATATGTACTGTTTTATCCAATAATTAGCTCTATTTTTTAATTTAAATATAGAGTTCTCCAAAAATAAAAATAAATTTTATTTTAATGGTTATTTCTATTTTTAACTTTTTTAAAAAAATATTTTCCCTAAATTCTATTTTTATTTAGTTATTAATTTTTATATTTTTTTATTTTACAAATATAAATTTATTATTTTATATGTTTAGAACATAAATTAAAACAAATGATTTCATTAAATAAATGTTTATTACAGATTTTTATTAATCATTTATTGTATCATTTAAAATTTTATATTTTGCGTTTAAATATTTTAATTAATTATCGTTGATATAATTTTGTTTAAGTGTAAAATAATACATAAAATTTTGTTTAGATACAAAATAAAAATATATAATAATGTAAATGATTATTTTACAAATAAAAAATATACTCCAAAAAAAGAGGTTTTATTTGTGATTCTAAATTTGGAATATAAATAAAGATCTCTATATCTAGAATAAAATATAAAATGTCATTTAAGGAGATGTTATTATATAATTTTAGAACTTTTTACTGTATAATTGTTATATAAGTTGGATAATGATCAATATATAATATTAGGATAAGAATTAACATGTATAGGAAAATAAACATAGAATGTATTGTAGAGTTATCTCTAATGATGTTAAGGCTTATGCCAGAACATAAAAAGACAACTAAATTCTCCTAAGTATATTTTTATTACTTTACACAACTAGATGTCTGTTATAATTAAATTTGTTATGTAATCTTTTTTGGGGTATATAATCTTCTAATTTGAAATTTTAGGAAATACTTCTTACACCTTTTGCTGCTACCTTTTGTTCCATTGATTATAATTTAGTAATTTGTGGATTGTGACGGAACACCTCACCTTAGCCACTTTACCAAGGTCGCCTCCTGATCATTATTATATTAAATTTAGATAAATAAATAAAATAAATGAATTATCTACTACACCCATGTCCATCTGTCGATATGCTAGCCTACGGATTCACACTAAATAACGTTAATACTTACTGTACATGTGTTTGTAATTTACTTATAACAAAACAAATCTTAATATATTCATTATGTTACTTAACATTCATACCAAAAAAAATATATATATTCATTATGTTATGTGTTAGCATCGGAAAGAAAATACAACCACGTCATTAAAGCAAATCATAAATCTTAATTTTTTCAAAAAAGACTTTCTTCGTTTAGCAGGATGCAAATAAAGAAGCAAAATTTGATACATGAACCTGACCTGGTAAAAAAAGTGTATAAATTAGCACCTTTCATCTTTTAGACATATATCATCCATAATATAAAAAAAATCCACACCAATTAATCAAACAATGAATCAGCAGCTCTCATGTTTGTTCCTTGTCTTTTTATTGTGTATTGTATTGGGTAACGCAGAGTTATTCAACAAAAATTCCGTACAGTTTAAAAGTTCTCTTAATGCAGGGAATGTTCTTGCGGTTCATTGTAAATTGAACGGTCATGATCAAGGCAATATTACTTTGTATCGTGGGCTAAGATTTGAGTTCGATTTTTATGATAGTGCTTTTGGGACGAAGGCTTATTGTGATTTGTGGCAGGGGCCACGTCAAGGCTTCAAGTATCATCAATATATCAGGGCATACAAAGATGCTGCTATCTTTGTTCATTTTGGCAAGCAGAATTTTTGGGATTGTAGAGAGGATGGAATTTATTTCACACATGGTGATAAAGCTCCCCGATTAGAATATAAGTGGATTCCAATGTAGAATATAAGCTTTACTTTTAATTTTTTTTATTTCCAATAAGTATCAGTGAATAAAATATTTAATTCATTATAAGAAAACATGATTTCGCGATTATGAGAACAGTTTTTAAGCAGTTGTAAAAATCAGGGTTATCGATTAATTTGGAGTATTAATTAACTAATATTTCGTCGTTTAATCCACTAGTCGCGAAACTGCAACTAAGTAACAACTACTTAAGTCAAGTTTAAACAGCTGTAACTTAGTCGTAATACTAATTGCAAAAAAAAAAAAGAATTTGTAATATTTAACGATCAAATTGTAGTTATATATAATAATAAGGCTGTAAGTATGAGCTTGGTCTGCTCTGAAGAAAAAAATCACATGGTAATTGCAGTAGATAACTCGGTTAGATTCCGGAAAAAAATAACGCACCGACCGTTAGACATATGGACCCACTAGTCCAAAAGAGGATGCTCAAATTGTAAGGGCACCAGTATTGGAGAACTTTAGTAAGGCTCTAAAGAAAAAAAGAAAAGAAACAAAGAAAAAAAAAATGACATGGCAAGTTGAAAAGGCAGAGTCGCCTCTCTGTACAGGGGAGGAAGGAGCGCCTCTCGATGAGGTGGCGAGATCTGATTTGGCGAATTTTTTTTTCTTTTAAAGTCGATTTTTTAATAATAAAAAAAATATTAAGAGCTTTTGATGAGAGTATCACCGATACTGATGCTCTAAGGACGGTCAGGGACGTTACAAGTTTCGACATGGCTAGTCTCTAAGACGTACCCACGCATCAGTTTTGTGTTGAATCCATCCACGTTCTGCACTTTCAAATTTCAACAAACAAGATGTTTGTGTTACATATACAAACTTACGTACACTCATAGTTTTTTTTTTTGTTAAAGTACGTACACTCATATATATCTATAGAGAGAGGGATTATTGAGAGAGAAGAGAGAACCTTGAAGGCAAGGCGCTTTAGATTGTCCCATTCGAAATCGTTTTTACAATAAGCAGACCGTACCTACGTACAATAACAAAACGTTTAAAACACGAACGTGAACGACTAAAACAATAAAATCGAGAGTCTATATATTTTTATTGAAGGAGAAGCTTAGCTTACCTCTAAAATTCGGAGGGCTCGCGTTGTTCGTGAAATGAAAACAGAGTTTTATTAGTTTGATTAGTTTGTTGTATGTACATAAGAGTAAGAAGATTATACAAAATATGACTTTGTTCAGTAACCTAGAAAATGGTGGCAGAGAGTGTCGTACAAGAGTTTGTACTATAATACGTAAAGTGAAAGTGTCATTGCACACGGAAAGAATGTTTGAAAAAGAGATTTGTTCGGGTAGAATATTATAACCAAAATTTATTTACATGGTTTGACAAAAAAAAAAATTATTTACATGCAAAAAATGTTTATTTTTGGTACCAACGTTGGTTTGCGACTTTGGGAATTTCGCAATAATGGAAAAGAAAGCGAAGGTCTTTTTTTCAAAATTTGGATTAAAATAAGAGAGGTAAGATTTATGAAGAAGGAGAGAAGAAGATGACTCCATTCGATATTCGATGAGGAAAAGTTGTAGAAGGGGGAAATATTGTTTTACTACATAGTCGTATATAAGAGAATGTTTAGGTTCACACAATAAAATATCTAGGATATGGATGAATAATATCTTCTTTCTGGAAGTATAGACAAAACTATTTTTCTTTCGATAATATGTTAAAACAGTTTATACATATTTGACTCTAATAAATCATTCATCATTTTTCATTATAAAACTAAAAAAAAAAATCAACACATTACAAAAATACATAAACACGACGCCCCAATCTTACAAAATAAGTTCCTCTAATTAATGCACACTCTAACATATCTTACGGATTCACACTAAATTTAACGATCACCCATCACAGCCAGGGCGCATGGCAAAAACTGTTATTACAACATTAATACTTACTGTACTATCAAATAGAAATTATGGTTTTCATTGATACGTTAACATGTGTTTGTAATTTATTTACAAAACAAATTTTAATATATACATTACGTACGTTACGGGTCGAACTTTAAAGAAAACGTAATTTTCATTATGTTACTATATGTGCTTGCATTGGAACGAACATACAACCACGTCATTAAAGCAATCATAAATGTACGTAAAAGTTGAACGTTTACCAGAAAAAAAGAGGTTGAATGTTGACTTTTTTTTTAACTTACCAATTTTTTAAGAAAACGTTTTTCTTTTAGCACCTTCATGAACTTGATCTGGTAAAAAAGTGTATAAAGTAGCATCTTTTATCTTTTATAAACATATCATCCACAATAAAAAAAAAAATCCACATCAATTAATCAAACAATGAATCAGCAGCTCTCATGCTTTTTCTTTGTTTTTGTATTGTGTACTGGATTAGGTAACGCAGATTTAAACAAAAATTCTGTACATTTTAAAAACTCTCTTAATCCAGGACATACTCTTGCGCTTAGATGTAAATTGAACGGTCGTGACAAAGGCTATCATGTTTTGAATCCTGGACAAACTTACGAGTTTGATTTTTTTAGTGCTGCTTTCGGGACGAAGGCTTATTGTGATTTATGGCAGGGAACACCTGAAGACTTCAAGTATCATCAATATATCAGGGCATTCAAAGATGGTGCTATCTTTGTTCATTACGGCAAGCAGAATTTTTGGGATTGTAGAGAAGATGGAATTTATTTCACACATGGTGCTAAACCATTCCAGTTAGAATTTAAATGGATTCCTAGAGTATAAGCTGTAATTTTTTATTTTTTGTATTTGCAATGAATATTTGCTGAATAAAATATATAATCTTTTATAATTATTGGTGGATTTAGAAATTGTTTCTCAAGATCACAAATACAAACACATCAAAAGAAAACTTAATATACACATTTTAAATATATCTTGGACAAAAATAGGTGGACAATAATTGAGTTTGGTATATAACATTTTCTTTTTTTTTTTACAAAAATTGTAAAATCTTATTTTTCTGTTAGATGTGCAAAACTACGTTTTTCATAAAATTATTTGATTAATATATATAGTTTATATTAAATTAAAATTTAAACCAAAATAGTTTAATTATGATTAAAAATACAATTAGATGAAAATATAGATATTTTAGTTGTTTTATTATTAAAATGAAAATGTAATTGTATAACCAACTAACTAAACAAATTAAATTATATTATTTCAAATGTATAACCCTCTACCTATTAATTGAGAATGTAGTTTAATGAAAAATATTGATTTGTTTTAATTTGTTTGTTTAATTTTTTTTTTCTATCCTAATTAAATGTGACATGGAAATGATGATGTGTAATGATGATGTAATTGAGACATGTCATTTACTAACACACGTGGTTTATGACATGGCAAAATTTTGTTTTTATGATATTTTCATTAATAAAAAATTTAATTTGATGACAAAATTTAGTGTACTAATAACTAAATCTGGAATGACTTGCCAGATGCATTACGAATTGTCTGATATTATTATTCATCTATTTGGTAATAATAGATGAATTTTGGATTGAACGTGATGATTTTAATGCATATATATATTATAATACTATGGATAATACTATATTAGATATATATTAAATTTATTATAGCTCTATCGTGGACAACTGTGACTTTCCATATAGGTACACACATATTATAAATACTATATTCATATGGAATACATGCACATATATTTTCATACACTCCAGTAGGCAAAATTATAATAACAAATCATATTGATCAAATCGTTTACCTAATAATTCATACTTTTTATAAAGGCGGTGCTCCATTTACGTGCATATATGTTTTCACATAATTTAGTTGGCAAAATTATAATAACATAATAAGATATTATTGTGATCTTCTGTAGAACATTCAAATTTTAAAAATATTACTTTAGTTTAAAAATAATAACAAATATAAATATTAAGATTTTGATTTAATAATCCTCTACGTTACTTTTTGTAACAAACGTTGAATATTCTATAAAATCAACGTGCATCTAATGAAAAACCAAAATCATTATTCTTTACATTATTTAAAAAGTTTAATGTCCATTTAATAAAAAACCAAAAAGATCTATATAAAATCACGTTCATCCCAAATAACTAATGAAAAAGTTAAATATTCGGATCCTTATATTAGAAAACATCACAACACACATGAATATCAAATAAATCAAACTCTAACTCAAAGTGCGGGCATGGCATTATACCAATCCATTTATCTAAATCGAATATGGCTAAAATGAAACTTGAAGGTTGTATAGACTCCAATCGTTAGTGTAATGAAGCAATATTTTATCGCTACACTGAATTTCCAAATAAATGAGTTTGACATAAAAAAATTAAGAAGTGGATCCCTCGCAACAGAAAAAACAATGTTCCCTACGATATCAGCCTTCCAGAAATCTCAGAAGAATATGGTGAGCTTTTCTACCTTAAAATGTTGCTAAATGTTCATAGAAGACCAGTATGTTTCGAAGATATCAGGACAGTAAACAGTTTTATATCCAACTTTCGCTGAAACATGTCTTGCAATAGGGCTAATTGAAGTGCTTGATGCTTAAGTGGAGATGGTCTTGCAATTATTTGTAGAGTCTACTTAATAAAATTATAAGTAGAAAAATCGCACATATGAGTAGATCGAGACCAACAATGATGAAATCCTTGAAGAAATAATGCTTTAAAGTGAGGAAGATTATAGGAAGACAAAGAAAATAAAAAAAACGTTTGTTAAAAAAAAAAGACAGAGAAGATAAAATTTGCAACCTAATCCACAAATTCGAAAAAGGTAACCAGCTATCCTCGGGTTTGACCCATTTGACCTTCTAACATAACATGCCAAGTTTTACAAAGCTTGATCATAAAAAATTAGTTTTTGCATTTTCTAAATTTAATTATTATTTCTCAAGTTTGTCTTAAAATATAAATGAACTTTTTGTTATAACAAAATGTTTAGTGAAAATTAGATCATATTTTACTACTTAATTTAAAGTCTTATAATTAAAAACACTGATTTTGAGTTTCATATACTACAAAAAATTAAAATATTTAAAACAGATTTAGATATTGTATTTAAATAATTATACTTTTAAAATTGTTCATGTCTGCACCAATATCGTAGTTAGATAAACAACCAAAAAACAATATTGAATTAAAACATTTGAATGAAATATTTAAATAAAATATATAGATGAAAATGATTAATGAGTCAAATATGTCGATATTTTAACATTTTAGGGATTAACACAGATCACACGCCCTGCGCGTGGGTAACACATTCAAAATTGTCCACACCACACGTCTGCATATCTTATCTACCGCTCCTTAATGTCTACTGGTACGTGTGTTTTACTCTCTTACTTCACGCGTGAATCACAGCATTTACGACCGTTACAGAAGTCCCATGTTCAACTAGCCGTTAGGATCTTGACAGCAAGGCAACAGCTTTTATTTACCTTAATGCTGCAGATAAATTAAATTCTCATAAATATACCTTTTATTCCGATAAAAAGCGAAATACGTGGAGTTGAAATTTTTTTAACCTTTTAAGTGACATTTTTATTCAAACGTTGACATAGTCTGTAATTAACTGGTAACACGAGTTTTGACTGAATTGACCATTTGTTAAATTGGTGGGGAAAATGATAAATACTGAAAGGGATGAAAGTATACAAAAGTATCTTCTCTTCTAACCGTTGAAAAACAAAATAATCTTTTTTTCTATTTTAGTAAAATGCAGCTAAATGAAATAAAAAATTTAAAATCTTAACCAATCAGGAAAAAGAAATGGATATTTAAATTCAGTAAAAAAAATCATAATCACGTTACCTTTATTGGTGGACACTCCCAAGTTTCAACTCTAGTTGTAGATATATCTGAGTCATTTCATTTACTTTTTTTTTGAACAATTAAAAAATATAAAACTACTTAATGTTTTTATATTTACGACAACAAAAGATTTTCACTTTTCAATCATTTTATTTTAATCTAGGACCACGTTTAAAGAAACTCATGTCGGTATGCCTCAGTGTTAAGCTGAAGAAACAGACAAAACTTCTTCGGCTTCTTCCTATATAACATTGTCCCATTTTTCCCAGATCAGTTGTAATTTTCTTTTGGTCGGCCAGTTGTAATTTAACGTAACTTCTTTTTTTTTTTTTTGGTCAAACGTAACTTCTAAAAATCAAAACGGTCCCGAAAAATATAAAACTTTGGATAAACCAAAAATGTAAATAAAAATTGCTTTTTCCCTATCCTTTTTTTTATAATATAATAAAACCGAAACGGAAAAAGCTAAAAAAAGTTATAAAAAAATCTTCTCGTCTTCTTGCTCGTTAGCAGTTTCGGAAGCCGACAGAAACTTTACTACAGTTTGTCCAATCTCTATCAAACCCCTCTCGACATCCTCCATTACCACTGACATCAAAGAAACAATAATATCTCAAATCCAGAAAACAACAATAATTAGAAAGATTCATATACAATTCTATATAATAATCTGTTTTTCTTCACTCTCTCTCTCTCTCTCTCTCTCTGGTGGGTTTCCCGCGTGGCTTGCGTGTTACTTCATCAGTGCTTTAGCTTCATATGAATCTCGAGGCAATCCACTCACTGGGTTTTCTCACTCCCCATCTCTAGGTTTTTATCTCGCTCTCTCCCTTTTTGAATTTATTTTATCAAATCTCTAAATTTCATTCTCTTGTGGAGTACATTTGAGTAAAGCTTTGAAATTTATTTGGGTTTCAAGCAATTAAATAAAAACGATCTTTTTTATGCCCTGATTTGTTTCAGTCTGCTTTTTGTAACTTCATTTGTATTGACTTGATTTAATACAAAAGCGTATGCTCGAGATCTCCTGGTTTTCTGATCCAATATGGAAATCCTCAAGTACCCACATATTTGGATCTCGTGTAAATTTCAGTTCTTTCAACACTAATCAGAACTGGGTTTGTTCTGTCTTAAAAATCTGTTCTTTTTTTCTTCTGAATGTTCTGTAATGTAAAATTCTTCGAATTTGGGTGAATTTTATGTTGCTTCTAGTTTGATGCAGTCGCTAAAGGTTCGATTTTTCGCCGTGTTGTTCCTTGCTCGTATCCAAAGCTTCCAATTTTACTTTTGACTCAGTAGTAACAAACTGTGATTTGTCAGGTTAAATTCTGAGATTTTGGAGCAGCCCAAGTAACAAATCATGGCAACACTCCAGGATATTGGTGTATCAGCAGGGATAAACATCCTCACTGCATTCATTTTCTTCATAATCTTTGCTGTTCTTAGGCTTCAGCCATTCAACGACAGAGTCTACTTCTCGAAATGGTACCTCAAGGGCTTGAGAAGCAGCCCTGCAAGTGGCGGCGGAGCGCGGTTCCTGAACCTTGACTTGAGATCATACCTCAGGTTCTTGAATTGGATGCCTGAAGCTCTCAAGATGCCTGAGCGTGAGCTGATTGATCATGCTGGTCTTGACTCTGTTGTGTATCTCCGGATTTACTTGCTTGGGTAAAGAAAGATTCAAACTTTTTCTTCTTCTTCTTGCAAAGTCTTATTAAGTCAAAACACATTGTGTTTTTTAAGACTAAATATAGTATCAGGAAGAGGAAACATTAGTTGAATAAGTGTGCCCTAAAGATTTGATATGGTTTAGGCTCATTGTGTCACCAGGAAAAGGAAATTAAGCATTTTTTAATCAATAGTGAGAGAATGTTCATAAGATTTGAATCATTTTATTTGTTGTTACCTTTATATTGCAGGCTTAAGATCTTTGCTCCAATAGCACTACTTGCCTGGACAGTTATTGTACCTGTGAATTGGACGAACCACACGTTGGAGTTAGCTAAGCAGTTAAAGAATGTAACTGCTAGTGATATTGACAAACTGTCAATTTCAAACATCCCAGAGTATTCAAATAGGTATGTTATAACAATTTCAAACTCCTTTTTTTTTGTGTGTGGTTTGGTCTGTGCTTTGAAGGTTGGTTAAGTAAAAGTTGTATTTGATTCTTTTGCTCCAGGTTTTGGACTCATATCATAATGGCTTACGCTTTCACAATCTGGACTTGTTATATGCTAATGAAGGAGTATGAGACAGTTGCTAACATGAGGCTTCAGTTTGTTGCCTCAGAAGCTCGTCGACCTGACCAGTTCACTGTAAACACAGAACACAGCTAAGTCTATGAATTTGTATGTGAAAACGATGTTACAGTTCTAAAATGTAGTGAGTTTTTGAGTAGGTTCTCGTTAGGAATGTACCTCCGGATACAGACGAATCTGTTAGTGAGCTTGTGGAGCATTTCTTCCTAGTCAATCACCCTGATCACTACCTCACACATCAGGTGAAACTTTTCTCATAACTTGACCTTTCAAGATGCATTTCTTGTTGGGGAAAAAACAAAAAAATTTATGTCTTTTTTCGACTTCCGGATTCAATATGTAGGTTGTATGCAATGCAAACAAGCTCGCCGATTTGGTTAGTAAGAAGAAGAAGCTGCAGAATTGGCTTGACTACTATCAGCTCAAATGCTCTAGAAATAACTCTCAGATCAGACCTATGGTGAAGGTACTTTAAAGTGTTAAACTTTGATAATTTAGGATATTTTTTTTTCTTCTGCTAACTCTTGTTTTGTTAAGTAAAAACCGTTTTTTCTCGCTTCTCTTTACTAAATTCAGCTTGGCTGCCTTGGCTTGTGTGGACAAAAAGTTGACGCAATAGAGCATTACATAGCTGAAGTTGACAAAATCTCAAAAGAGGTAACCTTTGTGGTCGTTTGGTTTACCATTTCCATGCCATCTTATTACCTAATGAGGGTTCCTTTTTGTTTCGAAATCTTTGTTTGTTTATAGATCGCTGAAGAAAGGAAGCATGTGGTGAATGATCCAAAGTCAATCATGCCAGCATCTTTCGTCTCCTTCAAAACCCGTTGGGCTGCTGCGGTTTGCGCTCAGACCACACAGACCCGAAACCCGACCGAGTGGCTAACCGAGTGGGCTCCAGAGCCACGAGATGTGTTTTGGCCAAACCTTGCAATGCCGTATGTCTCTTTGACTATAAGAAGATTGGCCATGAGTGTAGCCTTCTTCTTCCTTACCTTCTTTTTCATCATCCCTATCGCATTTGTACAATCTCTTGCTACCATTGAAGGAATTGAGAAAGTTGCGCCCTTCTTGAAACCCATCATCGAAGAGTGAGTTCTCTTTTTTTTTTCTCTTAACGTTGTCTCATTTCTTCATGACATTTGAAATGGATGGATTGTGATTCATTGCCATCTTTTCATTTCTCGCAGTAAGTTCATAAAATCGGTGATACAAGGTTTGCTAGCTGGTATTGCGCTGAAGCTTTTCCTCATCTTTCTCCCAAGCATACTCATGACCATGTCTAAATTCGAAGGCTTTACTTCACTCTCATTTTTAGAAAGAAGATCAGCTTCTAGATATTACATATTTAACTTAGTGAACGTCTTTCTTGCAAATGTTCTCGTTGGAGCTGCGTTTGAGCAGCTCAGCTCTTTCCTCAACCAATCGGCAAATCAGTACGCGTCTCTCTCTCTCTCTGTTAATCTTTCTTTCCTTTTTGGGCTATTTCTAAAAGTTCTTCTTTTTTTGGGTCTGTGCAGGATTCCTAAGACTATTGGTGTGGCGATACCGATGAAAGCAACCTTCTTTATCACTTATATAATGGTTGATGGTTGGGCAGGAGTTGCAGGAGAGATCCTCATGCTTAAACCTCTCATTATCTTCCACCTCAAAAACGCTTTCTTGGTGAAAACAGAGAAAGACAGAGAAGAAGCAATGGACCCTGGAAGCATCGGTTTCAACACAGGAGAGCCTCAGATACAGCTTTACTTCCTTCTCGGTCTTGTCTACGCTCCCGTGACGCCCATGCTTCTTCCTTTCATCCTAATCTTCTTCGGTCTTGCCTACATCGTGTACCGTCACCAGATCATAAATGTGTATAATCAAGAATACGAGAGCGCTGCAGCGTTTTGGCCAGATGTTCATGGACGAGTTATAGCGGCACTGATCATATCTCAGTTGCTTCTGATGGGTTTGTTGAGTACGAAACACGCTGCTTCAGCTGCACCGTTCCTCATCGCTCTTCCCGTGCTTACCATCGGTTTCCACCGCTTCTGTAAAGGCCGTTACGAGCCCGCCTTTGTTCGTTACCCCTTGCAGGTCAGTCTCTTTCTACATATTCAACACAGAGTTGTAATCTTCTTTTTGTTGCGGTTTCATAATGTGTTTGATTCTTTTTTTAACAGGAGGCTATGATGAAAGATACGTTGGAGAGAGCAAAGGAGCCGAACCTGAACCTGAAAGGGTACCTGCAAGATGCTTATATTCATCCGGTTTTCAAAGGCGGTGACGATGACGACGATGATGACATGGTCGGGAAATTGGAGGAGGAAGTCATCATAGTGCCGACGAAACGCCAGTCGCGGAGGAACACTCCGGCACCAAGCAGGATCAGCGGCGAATCCTCTCCGTCTCTGGCCGGTTTTAATGGTAAAGAAGTCTAGTAACGGTGTTGTGTAAACGACGAAAGTATTAAAGTATGAATATATATATATATATGTACATTTTCCTACTTTATGTTGTACATAGAGAGACCGAGACTGTGTTTGGGATTTTGTCTAAGTTAGGTTTGTGTTTGTGGGTTTTATTGTTGAAGTACTAAACTTTGGGGTTTTTTTTTTAGAATGTATGACTTTTATTGTGGGGTGGTATTTTCAACTTTTATTCCAATGTATCTTTCACATGAATAAACAAGATTCGTGGTGAGAATTTCTATTCGGATTTGCATTGTTGTCTAATAGATGACAAATAGAAATGAGTTTTAACATCACATTTTGTCAATATTTCTTTTTTATTTAATTAGAAATTTAGAATCGACTATTTTTTCCCTAGGGGAGTGATTCAAGTGAAGATGAATTACGTTTGTTTATAACCAAATTAATAATCGTCTAGACCAATTAAAACCAAAAACTAACATAAATAAGTAATTCAAAATTTGAAGGAGAGGGAAAAATAATTCCTAAGATAATTAAGCCAAGACTCGAACTGGAGAACATTGAGTGGGACAGTGGTAAAGAAAGCCATCTCTTCTAATAAAAATTATTGATAGTTTTGTTTCGAAAATAAATAATATAGTTTTAAGTTGTCACCCTAATTTAAAGACGGATAAAAAACCTGAGGGGAAGGGTTTAAGACTTATTGCTCTGCGCCTCCTTCCTCAGCCTCGTGAATCCTCGTTTTAATCCCTCCCAAGCCTCAAGTTTGGATCTGTGGTTCGTAAGCTTCTCTTTCTCGATTCTAAGTTTCTCTTCGGAGGTTTTCGAAGCTGTTGATAGAAATTTGACCTAGGTTTCTTTCTGGATACAATCGTAATTTCATTGATATGAAATCTAAACCCTAAATTTGTGGCCTTTATATAAACATGAGTTGATTGATTCCTCTTTTTTTTCTTCTTCTCTCCTTTGCCATTGTATTGAACACAAGAAACAGAATTTCCAGTAGTTCGTATCCAATAGGTTGCTTTTTTGCTTTTCGTTTAGGTAATAAGGAACAAAGATGGAGGTCAATACAGAGGATAACAATGTCATGGAGAAGGTTTTGCTTCCTGATGAACAGGTACTACTTTCGTTGGATTAGACTTTCAGACACTTGAATGCTTTTGTGGGTTTCAGTAAAGTTGAGGACTTTGCTTCAAATTCGAATTGTATGCAGGAGATCGATGTTGAGTTGGAGGCTAAAGAAAAGAAGTATCTAAGAGGAGAAGGTGCTAATCTAGAGGTATAGATAATCTGAGAGTTTTAATGATTTGTGGCCTTTTGGTTGTGAAATGCACAAGTTTAGTGTTTTTCTCTTCTTCTTCTGCAGTTGTTGAAAGATAAGAAACTAAAGTCTCAGCTTGCTTCACGAGAGAAGATATATGGCAAATCTGCAAAATATGCTGCTAAAATCGAGAAGGTAAAATTTAACCTTTTTGTATCTCTTGGCGTCGAGCAACCGCTTTTATTCTTCTGTTCTTGATAGTTTCGATTCTTAATTACGGTTTTGTGGTTATGCAGTGGCTCTTGCCGGCTTCGGCAGGCTACTTGGAGACCGAGGGTCTAGAGAAAACATGGCGTGTCAAGCAGACAGATATTGCCAAAGAAGTAGATATACTAAGCTCAAGAAAACAATATGATATAGTGCTCCCAGGTAAAAATGCTCAGTAGCTTCTTGTGAGATGGAATATCATATCTTTATATGAATGTAGAAAAATGTACTCTCTTTGTTATGTGTGGTTCTAATTAATTTTACTGACGCTGGTGAAACATATTGTAGATCTTGGCCCCTACAAAGTTGATTTTACTGCAAGTGGTAGGCATATGCTAGCTGGTGGTCGCAAAGGGCACCTTGCTCTTGTAGACATGATGAATATGAAGTTAATTAGGGAGATCCAGGTCTGGTTTTTTTGTATTTCATAAAAATCTTAATCAGGGCTTGATATATATGTGAAAAAATATGATTTGGGTCTCAAGAAAAGTTGATGATGTCCTCAGGTAGGAGAAACAGTACGTGATGTTGCTTTCCTCCAAGACGAAGACTTATTTGCAGCTGCCCAGAAGAAGTACGTATTTTTCACATTTAATAGCTTCACATTCTGTATGCTGTGTGCGAGAGTGCTTGGTCTAATATATTGACTCGTCGATTTTTGAAAGGTATGCTTATATTTATAAGAGCAATGGAGCTGAGGCACATTGTTTGAAGGTGAGGTTTAATAATTTTTCTTTTTTGATATATCCATTGAAAAGAAACAGATGCCTAGTGTTCTTGGTTATTGACGTCAGACTTTTGTATTTCAGGAAAGTGGTCCAGTGACTAGACTTCGGTACCTAAAGAACCATTTCCTGCTTGCATCAGTAAACAAAATCGGGCAGCTACGTTTTCAAGACACAACCAACGGTAGCATGGAGGCTAGTATCCGAACAGGCAAAGGCCGAACAGATGTAATGGAAGTGAATCCATATAACAACGTTGTTGCCTTAGGACATTCTGGTGGAACAGTTACAATGTGGACACCAAAGATGCAAGCACCTCTGTTCCAGATGCGGTGTCACCCTGGTCCGGTCTCTTCTGTTGCGTTTCACCCAAATGGCCATCTCATGGCTACATCGGGTAAAGAGCGCAAGATCAAGATCTGGGATCTGCGTAAGTACGAGGAGATCCAGACTATTCACGGTTTCCACGCCAAGACTCTGAGTTTTAGTCAGAAAGGTTTGCTAGCAGCTGGAACTGGATCGTTTGTTCAGGTCTTGGGAGATTCGAGTAGTGGTTCTTCGCATAACTATAGTAGATACATGAACCACTCGATGGTGAAAGGTTATCAGATCGAGAAGCTTATGTTCAGGCCTTATGAGGATGTTCTTGGGATTGGTCACTCGATGGGGTGGTCTAGCATTCTCATTCCAGGGTCTGGAGAACCGAACTTCGATTCTTGGGTGGCTAATCCATTTGAGACGTTGAAACAGAAACGTGAGAAGCAAATCCATTCGCTTCTTGATAAACTTCCACCAGAGACGGTCATGCTTGATCCTTCAAAGATTGGTGCGATGAGACCGGCCAGGAGGAAAGAGAAGCCAACGAGAGGAGAGATAGAAGCTGAGAAGGAGCTGGCCATAGAAGCAGCAAAGAGCACTGAGCTGAAGAACAAGACGAAAGGAAGGAATAAGCCGAGCAAGCGGACCAGGAAGAAGAAAGAGTTGGTGGAGAGCGCGAAGCGGAGTTTCCCGGCGCAAGAGCACAGTGCCGCCTCTAAGAAGAGGAGAATCGGTGAAGAAGAGGCTGCTGAGCTACCGGCGAGTTTAAAGAGGTTTGCACGGAAGAAATGAAATGGTGGTTGTTCGATCTTGAGCGTTTTTTAGGTTTCTTGTTCTACTTCAGTTTTGCAATTCGTTGGGAAGTGTTTTGTTTGTAGACAGATGATCCAACAATGTATGTTTTCCTCGGAAAAGAGGTTGAAATTTTGGAGACAAATTCACATATATATTTGGAAAACATTGGAGTGGAAAATTGAATGAACAGGAGTTGAGATCTTGCATTTGTTATATGAACAACATTTTGATTTATACATTTTAGTTTGACATTTTATCTTCTTGGGAGATTCATGCAATTTCTCAAGCCGAGAGGGCAGATGCGAATACGGTTTAATGGAAGCTATTCGATTTTTAATCTGGTTCGTTCCACAATCTTCACAAGTAAAAGATTGCTTGAAGAATAAAAGCTTCAAAAAGTTTTACATTTTGCTCACGTTGATGTAAATAAGTATTGTAATCGTTACGTTGTTTTTTCTTTTAAAGACTTTAAAGTATTGTATTCACAGTGCTCCATTATTGCACATTCTTGCATAATTGGTGAACAAAAAGATAATAAAAAGAAATTGTATTATTAACTCAAGATTGATACAGTAAAGATTATAAATTTAATTTACGAGTTACAACTAAAGACATTACGATATCATTTTTGAAGTCGAAATCAAATTAAACAGGATTAGGAGGATAAAGCTATTGAGGAAACTTTCATCTTTAGTGTGAGACGAAATTAAACATTCTAACTTGGCATCACAATAAAAATAAGAGAATGAAGTAAAGTAAATAACAAAGAAATAAATAATACCAAAATATAAATTGCATTAATATGAAAGAAGCAAAGGTCACCAAGTTTTTTACAAACGACTGGAGAAAATAAAGATAGTAGAAAAAGCTCAAAAGCAATGTCCCCTTTCGATAGAAGCGCCGATGATTATCGTAGAGGGAACCTTCGGAAGAAACCAGAAGTATTAGAAGATATATTAGCAATATCTTCACAACTTCAACATCTACAAAGATGTAGGACTTAAAAAAGTCTCATTACAAAATAGGGTATCAATCTTTTCTCGATTCTACCTATAGATAAGAACTTAATAAAGCCTCGTAACTATTTAAAATATCCATCTTTTCTGAACTCGAAACATCAACGAGAAAACATAGCAAGAAGTTCTTTGACAGTCGTAACAAGATCAAAAACACAACGAACGAAGTAGAGAGCCTTCAACCAAAACATTTTTATTGTAGAAGTTACGATTTATAAACTTTAGATAGATATAAAAAGAAAGAAGCATAGAGGCTTATTTATAGAGGCTAAATTGTGAATTAAGTAACGTGACCGGGGCTGTTGAATTTACCAACTGTAAATTCATTTAATGAATGCATAAACAAAAAGTGAAGAGAGTAATAAATTCCAACATCGTAACTTGTTTTGTTTGGAATATGGACGTTCCCTATGTAAAAGCAGATACAGAGAGTTCATAAACTATTAGTATTACACTATTACTTGTTCAAATTTTTGTCAAACATATAACACTTTTGAGCTAAATGCGTATTTATTATTATGATTCTTCAAAAAAATAAAATATTTTAGCCGATAGACCAAAACAGCTACAAAGAAATCAAACACCGTTAACAAGAAACGGCGTAGTTCTTCAGCTAACCATCGTCTCAAGTGTTTTGTTTGTAGACAGATGATTGAACAATGTATTTTTTCCTCAGAAAAGAGGTTAAAATTTTGGTGACAAATTTACATATATATTTTGGAAAACATAAGAGTGGAATTTGAAAGAAGAGGAGTTGAGATCTTGCATGTGTTTGTATAAAAACATTTTGATTTATACAGTATTATAATCACAATGCTCCATTAAATTAAAAATAAATTGTATTGGTAACTCAAGATTGATACAGTAATGATTATAAATTAAATTTACGAGTCCCAACTAAAGACATATTTCGATATCATTTTTAAGTCGAAATCAAATTAAACAGGATGGAGGATATAGCTATTGAGGATATCTTCATTTTTAGTGTGAGACGAAATTAAACAGACTAACTTGGCGTCACAATAAAAATAAAATACATTTTCTCACTTCTCCTTCCGTCACCCCAGCAACTACATCATTAATTTTTTATCATTTAAATTCTTATAAAACATAAAATAACACTAACATTCAATATAAAAATATGAAAACTAAAAACCATTATAATATGTTGTCAAAAAAAAATAAAGTAAAATAAAACTAAAAATAATTATATACATTAGCTTTGAATATTTCAAGATTCAAGACGGAAATTTACGAGTGTGTGATAAGAATTGGTAATTAGAAAGACAGAAAACAATAAAAATTAACAGTAACATTCAATATAAAAATTAGCAAACATAAAAAGAGAATTAGAATGTATTGTCAGAAAATAAAAATCAACAAAATAGCAAAACCAAAAAATAATAATATACATTAGCTCTGAATATTTCATGATTTAAGACAGAAATTTACGAGTGTGTGACAGGAATTGGTAATTAGAAAGACAGAAAATAATAAAAATTAATATTAACATTCAATATAAAAAATAGTAAAAAAAAACAATTATAATATGTTGTCAGAAAATAAAAGATCAACACAATACTATAAAAAATAATGATATACATTAGCTCTGAGTATTTCAATATTGAAGACATATATTTACGAATGTGTAACAAAAATTGGTTATTAGAAAGATGGAAAATAATAAAAATTGATATCAACATTCAATATAAAAAATAGCAAACAAAAAAAACTATAGTGTGTTGTCAGAAAATAAAAAATCAACCATATACAAAATATAAATAAAAATAAAAATAATATACATTAGCTTTGAGTATTTCAAGATTAAAAGTAAAAAATTAAAGAGTGTGTGATGTGAATTGGTAATTAGAAAGACAGATAACAATTTCCAAAGGAAATCTAATAAAAATGGAACAGAGAATTCGGGTAACGAGATGGGTTCGAGAAATTGCATAATATCTATTCACAAATTCTCAATAATTTGGATGAAAGTCAATTTCAAAAAATATTTTGGGAAAATTCTGAAAAGTCAAGGAAATTTTTAAAAACTATATAATTTTAATTTTTTTAATTCTTAAATGGATGATTTGGATATCTACTATCATAAATGTTCTTTTTCTTATCTGTTTGAATAAACCAAATAATTTTCAATAGATAATATTTGATTGAAATTGAGATAAGACAAGAAATTCAAGATAGGTACATTTAAAAAATAAAAACAATCACAAAATGTCAAAAACTATTTGATACAATAAATATAATATAAAAATAAATAAAATGATAATCAAATCTCTGTGTTGTGCGGATCACAAACTAGAAATTTGAAAAAGATGGAAAATTCGAGAGAGATACATGTGAGAAATATAAATTTATCTTAAAATTCTCAAAAATATACGATACAATAAATTAAAATAAAAAATATAAAAATAAATTACATAGCCGCGCGTAGCGCGGATCACCAACTAGTAAGAGAATAAAGTAAAGTAAATGGTGACTTGTCACAGTAACCTTAATATTTTTTTTATCTGAATATTTTATTAAAATAGAAGGATATGTTTGCAAAATATATTTGTGGGATACAATTATTGAAAACCTTAAAAAAAACTCTAAAAATACAAGTAAACTTTAAATATATTTATAATAGCCAAAATAGCCTATTTATATATTTGTAATATTTTCATAAATATATTTTCTTTAATACTCTTGAGTATATCATTTATTTTCTGTATTTTGCCACATAAATATTATGAATTAATATGTAAAAACGAAAAAAATAAATTAATCAATAAATGCAAATATAATTAAAAATGAAATAAAATTTGTTTGAAGAAAAAACATAATTTAACAAACAAACAAAAAAAGAAGAAAAAACATATATGCAACAATATGTTGGTTTTGAAAAAAAAACGTTTAGGTACAAGGAAAGATAATAGTTTTCTTGAAAATCATCTTCTATTCATTATCTTCTCCATCGATCCAACTTCTTAGTAGGTATGAACTTCTGTCAATATTTTGTTTTTAGTTATATTTTATTAAAAAATAACGTATTATTTATTTGTACCATATTATCAATTTTTGTTTTGCAGATTTTTCAATTTTTTATCATCATGTTGAAAGAAGGAAATCACACTCTCAATAATCATGATTCTATGTTCATAACGATGCAGTTAATTTCTTAAATTTGTACGAGTTTTGCAGATTTGTGTAGGGTAGACAACTGGTTAACATATTGAATGATAATCTGTTTGTATATCAACAATTTGGTAGACTAAAATATTTTTCACAGATTTTACTATATTTTAGGAGATTGTGTATAAGTTTTTTGTAGACTTTAATTTTTGGCAGATTTTTATTTTTATTTTTACCAAAATCTTTGGTAAATTTTCATTTTTTTTAGCATATTCATCAAAGTTTAGGTACATACTTTGCAAAAACCGTTTAAAGTTTCTGGCAAATTTGAAATTTAATATGTTGGTTTATCATTCTTTCAACAGAGTCTTCAAATTTCTGGAAGACACTTTGGAGTTTTGGCAGATTCTGTGAAAATCTTCCAAAGTTTTCGGCAGACTTGAATTTGATCTACTACTCTTCAAATTTTTGGCAGACTCTCCGGAGTTTTGCCAGATTCTGCGAAAATCTTTCAAAGTTTTCGGCAGACGTGTAATAAGTCTGGTTGTTTACCATTCTTACAGCAGACTCTTCAAATTTTTGGCAGATTCTTCAGAGTTTTGGCAGAGTCGGTAGAATTCTTCCAACGTTTCCAGCAGACTTGAATTTCAGTCTGTTGGTCTACCATTCTTTGAGTAGACTCTTTAAATTTTTGGCAGACTATCTGGAGTTTTGGCAGATTCTGCAAAAATCTTCCAAAGTTTCTGGCAAACTTGAATTTTAGTATGTTGGTCTACTATTCTTTCAGCAGTCTCTTCGAATTTTTGGCATTCACAGATTTTTGGCAGATTCTGCAAAAATCTTCCAAAGTTT